TCAATTTTCAGATGCTTGCACACTCTGTTACAAAACTGTTACACTCCAGAACTCCAGAATACAAAAATAAAATAAACTGCATATCAATTTGCTCAATCACATTCACAATAATACACAACAAACCCCCAGAAAATCATAATCATTATAGAGGTAAATTGCTGATCATGTGTAGGCCACTTACAAAGCTGAAATTCACATCTGTGCTGAATTCTGTTGAAAAAGGGGTCACTTCTGCAGTTTTTGTTCACAATGGATGGTCCAATACAGTCCCAGCACATAATAAGCAAGTGCTTGTTCATCCGTGTATAAGCAACATAGGACATTAGGTGTGATGTGAATAAGAACTTGTGGCCAGATAAAGCAGATCAGTTAGATTAAGCATTTATAGTAGTATGTGTTCTTGATTTTTTTTTTCTTATACAATGAAAATATACCTATACCTATTCTGTTTTGCTGTGTTTTTTTCTGGTGTCATGAGTTTTTTCATTCACTAATAAAAAATGTTTGTCATCTCAACCTAAAAAAACACACTGTGTGGTACCAAACAAATTAATTGCTTTTATCCAACCTAAAAACACTTTCAGTGAAAAATAATTTTTCCTTAGATGATCAAGATCAATATTTTACATCAATTTAACCCTCAATAAAACTGCTGCCCTGTTACACTGTGTTGCTTACATTATCAACCAAAGAATAATAATAAAACTAATACAAATCTGAAACAAACTCTAAAAAACGGTAAATAATATGTCAGCTGTCTACTGACATTGTGTACATCATTGTGCACTTAATATTTTATTTGCTCATTGCCATATATTGTTACAGGTTGATGGTTCCTTTGAGGATGTACTTGCAGAGGAAGAGGTGGCCATTGATATTGAGAGGCATGACAAGATTATGAACATTGTTCAGGAGAACGTGGAGGGAGTTCAGGAGAGAACAAGGAGAAGGCTGCAGTCCAAAATACCTCAGCAAAACCTTCAGGTGGGAGATGTAGTCTTGAGAAGGAATATCCGCAGCCAGCAACGCAAAGGAGGAAAGCTGGATCCAGAATTCCTCGGCCCTTTTACAGTCACCAAAATAGATGGGAAGAACATTGACCCTGTTGACTCCAATGGAAAATCCATTCCGAAGGTCAACATTGATCATCTAAAACTGTACCATGAACAGACCCCAAGGATACCCAAAAAGTTGAAAGGGCATCTTGAAGTCTGCAGTATCTCCCCTCCCCTACAGTCCCCAGTCACTGTCACTTCCTTTTCCCCTACTGTCACCTCCACTCCCCCAGCCACTGTCACCTCTTCTCCACCAGCCACTATCACCTCTGTTCGACCTGCTGTCACCTCCTCTCCAACAATTTTGATTACAGATCCAATGTGACAACTGTGCACGGTGGTACCACATAACATGTGGGAAAGCCTAACAGAAAGAAGCCCTACAGTTGTCTTGCATGTAAATAAACTGTGATGTATAAGGCGTGAGAATATGTTTATTTCAAAGCACCCTTTACTGTGTTGCAAAGAGGTCATTCCCTGAACAGTGTTTAAAAAAGATAAAACAAGACGAATGCAGTTTATATTTTTATTTACTTTTGTAAATTACTTTAAGTTTATTATTCTTGTTTGTTAAATAAAGAAGATACTGCTCAAGTTTCAGGATTACATTTTGGTCACAGTTTGTTGGGCTGGTTTATAATTATCAGGGTTTGTTTATACATTCTAGCAATTAATACTATTTAAAAAAAGGTGAAGGGATGATACATCACCTGAAAAGATTTGGTTGGACTTTAACTAGTTTTTGTGGAGATGTGGTGCGGTCACATATTCTGACAGCGGCTGTCAGATTTGGTGACCCCTGTGCCGAAGCCAATCTGTCCATTCCAGTCATGAAGGCTTTTTTGGTCTGAAAAGGTGAAGGGGTGATACATCATCTGAAAGGATTTAGTTGGACTTTAAGTAGTTTTTGTGGAGATGTGGTGCGGTCACAAATTCTGACAGCAGCTGTCAGATTTGGTGACCCCTGTGCCAAGGCCAATCTGTCCACTCCAGTCATGAAGGCTTTCTTTGACTAAAAATGAGAAGAGGTGGTAAGTCTCTCAAAAAATATCTTTCACTGTTTTGTGTAGATCATTCTGACAGTTCCTCAATGCTTTTATTGTGTGTGTGTGTGTGTGTGTGTTAATTATAAAAATGTTTTACTGTACCTGGCGTTTTACCTTCTTCAGGCAAAAAAGCTTGCTACTGTCACGCGCAGATATTGTGTATCTTTTCTCATATGACGTTTATAGATGTAGAAAATTTGTAATGAGACATTAGAGCCAGGAATATATAAGTGATTACCAAGCAACATGAAAAGTAAATACACGCATTTCTCATCGTTAGACTAGCTGAAAGCAGCAGAACGAGAAACGAACGCGCGTCGGCGTAGCTTACGCAGTCTGCGTGAAACAATCGTGCATGTGAACAGAAACTGCAAAATAGCGCACTCAACGGTCACAGAATTCGACGGTCACAGAATTCAGTGTAACACCGGTCGCTCCCAGAAAACACTCCAGTTGCTCACGTAGCCGACGCCGTTGTTCTTACACCAGCCTTGGAGCCAGCAGTGCAGCGTGTAGAGCCTGCTGAACACCTCACTTCCTCTCCGATAGGTGGGCAGCGGTCCCGAGATGGCGACCTTGCCTTTGGTTCTCTTCTTAACGTTGTCTAGAAGTAATCTGAAATGCTCCTTGAGGACTTCGCTCTGACGGGATGAGATGTCATTCACCCCTGCGTGAATTACAACGGTGCCGACGTCACCATGTTTGTTCAGAGCCGCGGGAAACCGCTTGGAAATATCCAAGACCCGGGCACCTGGAAAACAATAGACAGCCAAATCACTTCCAGCGCAAGTTACTTTAAGATGTCTCACTATTGAATCTCCAATTATAATAACACTCTCCTGACTCTCTCTCCAAGGCACTGAAACAGGCGACGAGCTGAGGGCTTCGAACCAGTTACTGGAGATGAAGCTCGGCAGGGAAGGAATTGGTGAAAACCTTCTCTTTCCCCGGCCATGCTGGCGTTCCCAGCCCTGCTCCGGCGCGGGCGTGAAGGCGGGCAATCCTGGTGTTAAACGTGGTAGTAGTGTTCCATCCGGTGGAGTAGAAGTCGACACCGGGCTTGGTCTTGAAACAACCGTGTAGGACGCGTCCTGGGTTGCTTCCAAATGGGTTTTCCGCTCATGGAGCTCTGTCTGGCGCTTTAGGAGAGCCCTGATCTGCTGATCCAACTGCAGCAGCTCCCTGTTCAGCGTCCAGAGCTCGCGTTCAGTGGCGGCCGCGATTTTGTCAGCGAAATAAGGGTTAGTTAGAACTGAAAACAAAACAACAACGTTGTAAGGGTAACACAATAAGACACAGAATAGGTATTTAGTTAAAGCAGGTAACCAGAAGGGTTAATAGCAAGATTAAAGAGCAAAAGATAACAGTAAACGAGCAAACCCAAACGTGCGATACGTGCGACCTGTTCAGTCAAAAATGGCGTCAGTCTTGCACATGCGCAATCACGTCTGAACGTTTGAACGTCCAATGACACATGAATGTCCAATGACACATCAAGCCTATGTATATTCTGTTGTTTAACTTGCCACTCAATGATATGATGGGTTCCTCAGCCCTTTTCCCTCAGCTGGTGTCTAGCATACTGTCACAGAATAGATCCATCACTTACTCTGCTTGTTTTGTGCAAGCTTTACTGATTCATCTGTGTGGAGCTGGAACATTTCTCACTCTGAGTGCTATGGCTTATGACATATTTCAATGGACAACAAATGGCAATGTATCTAACACCTTGATGTCTCCAAATAACTTGCTGAAAATAATTATTATAAAGTGGATCTTAAATTTTACTTTGATTGGTTCACTACTTGCACTGAACTACCGCAAAGAGATGTGTAGCACACAAATAGTGGACGTTTTCTGCAATAATCCATCTTTGATGAAGCTGGTATGTGGAGATACAAAGTTAAATAACTACTATGGACTGTTTACAATAGCTTTTTTTGCAGGTCTGTCTCTGCTGATAGTGGTTTTCACATACATCCAAATCTTAATCACTGTTGTTGTTAAAAGACGCCTGATGCCATAAGTAAAGCAATTCAGACCTGTGGTACACACCTAATTGTTTTCTTATGCTTGGAGTTCAACACACTCTTTACCTTTATAGCTCACAGATTTGAGTCAGCACCCCAAAACGTACGAAGGGCCTTAGGTGCTTCTGCCTTGATATTTCCTCCAATACTTAATCCTCTAATATATGGACTAAAAACAAAAGAAATTCGACAGAACCTTAGTTTCTTTTTCCCTAAGAAGGTTTCACCTACAAAACAGAAAAACAAACAGAGTAGGATGAAAAGACAACTGCAGTAAAAAAAAATAAAATAAAATAAATAATTTAACTAGACTTTGAATACAAATAAGTGAAAGGCAAATTTCAAGTTGGTGCAACTGAATTAATTTCATTGAGTTGAGTGTAATAATGCATAGTAAAACCATTAAATAAAAAAACACAAATAAATGAAAACTTTGATAATGAAAAGTAAATAAAAATGGGCGGTTAATCAGGGGCTGGTATTCATTAAATATTATTTAAATAATGTTGAGAAAAAATCAAAAGTCATATTTGACTGAAATGCCCATCCTGCTTCTGTAAGGTACCACTGGCTCACAAATACGTTAAGATGGGGTGCATTTCTTTTCCTGAGACCATATGTGTCCTTTTCCCACAAAAACATCTGTGCACCGTCCTGCATGTCTCACATATTTGCTTTGAAAACATGTAACTATACATCATGAACAAGGTACACTGCTGGTGTCTCTCAAGCCACAAGTTCCCTTGAGTATAGAAAAGGGAAACTAAAGCTTCTGTCCTTTAACTAAACATGTTTATGATAAGGAAATTACCAGCCTCAGAGTGGTATTGCAGTACAGAGCCATGGTACTGAGAGGTGATCAGATGGGATTTGGAAAGGACATCCCTCTAATACTGGGTGTATAAAAATGCCATGCAAGGTGAAATTGCTGCACATTGTCATGTGTGAAGTGATGGACATCTGCAAGTTTCCTCACCTACACAGTTAAATTTGTGGCCAGTTTTCTCCAAGATTCTGAATTTTTAGCAACTTAATACGATCAGAGATTTTGACATGCAGGCTTTTTCTGTGCAAGAAAAAGAAACAAAACAAAACACATAATGGATTTTAATTTTTCCATATATACAACATCTTTGACTTTAGAATCACTGGAATTGTCTCCCTCCAATGTTTTCCCAGCATTCATGTTTGGAACTCTCACCTATTGTGCCATTTTGGTTTTCAATATGACTGTATTGCTAACAATTGCTTTAAATCAGAAACTCCATAAGCCTATGTATATTCTATTGTTTAACTTGCCACTCAGTGATATGATGGGTGCCTCAGCCTTTTTCCCTCAGCTGGTATCTAGTTTACTGTCACAGAGTAGATCCATCACTTACTCTGCTTGTTTTGTGCAAGCTTTTCTGGTACATCTGTATGGAACTGGAACATTTCTCACTCTCAGTGCTATGGCTTATGACAGATACATTGCTATTTGTTGTCCATTGAAATATAACACCTTGATGTCTCCAAAAAACTTGCTGAAAATAATTATTATAATATGGACCTCAAATTTTACTTTGATTGGTTTACTACTTGCACTGAACTACCGCAAAGAGATTTGTAGCACAAAAATAGTGGACATTTTCTGCAATAATCCATCTTTGATGAAGCTGGTATGTGGAGATACGAAGTTAAATAACTATTATGGACTGTTTATAATAGCTTTTTTTGAAGGCCTGTCTCTGCTGATATTGATGTTCACCTATATCCAAATCTTAATCACTGTTGTGGTTAAAAGACAATCTGATGCCAAAAGTAAAGCACTTCAGACCTGTGGTACACACCTAATTGTTTTCTTATGCTTTCAGTTCACCTCATTCTTTGCCTTGATAGCTCATAGAATTGAGACAGCGTCCCCAAACTTACGACGGGCCTTTGGTGCTTCTGCCATAATATTTCCTCCAATAATTAATCCTCTTATATATGGACTGAAAACAAAAGAAATTCGGCAGAATTTAATTTTCTTTTTCCGAAAGAAATTTCCCCAATAAAATATAATAATAAACTGGGTGGGATGAAAAGACAACTGCAGTAAAATGGTTATTTTACCAACTGCAAGTTGCTTTTTATAGAGACTCTATATAAAAGTGATATTTTATGTTAACATTTAGATAAACAGTTTTGTGATACGGGTGGGGGGAGGGGAGATGTACAGTGTTATTTGGTAACAGATCTAATGAGGAAAAAGGACAATGCAGTAGAAAAGCTCCAAGATGTTGTTTTCTTTTTACTTTCTCAAGTAATCAAATATCAACTAATAGAAAATAAGATTAGGACTTCTGTATTTGCATTCAAACTAATATTGAGTCAACTCAAAAACAAATTACCAGTCCTAGTGATGTATAACTATGATTCACCTCTGGGACTCCCTAATCTTTTGTTGATGATGGACACTAATACAGATTTTAATTGAATGGCAAAGTAGTCCTGTTTAGTAGGTGTGGCTAAAGCTAAAGCTGTAGTGCTTTTTTGTCTTTATCTTTTCCCTTGTATAATCTCATACATTCTGTGTAGCTAAACATTGTTTAAAATAACCACACAGTTTGTAAGACCAGTCTGACAGTTCACTTTGAGGTATTTAATCTTTCATTGTGAAAATACAGATCCAAGAAAAGTAATCAAGAGTTTTTAGGTTTGTACTTTTTGTAAGCTTTATTGTAATTACTGTTTGAATTTGTATTACTTTGAATACAAATAAGTGAAAGGCAAATTTCATGTTGTTACAACTCAATTAATTTCATTGAGTTTAATGTAATAATGAATAGTAAAACCATTAAATAAGAAAAATAAATGAATGAGAAGTTTACTTAAAATTTCTATAGTGGTTCTATACAACTGTCTTAAGTAACGTCTTCGATCTTTCGGTTTTAGATATTTCAGTATTATGTTCTCAGTGAATTCAAATAAAACACACCAAAGTTAATTGAGTCAATTCACATTCAATGGACTTTTTCTTATGTATTATACTTGTTCATTTAATGTAATATGGTTGTGTTCATCTAATGAAAGTAATGTTTACATTTACAGAACTCAATTAAGTTGTTAATGTACCACCCAGAAGCATAGCATCAAAGCACATAGTTACTTGTTCTTAAGGCCCATCTACACTTGTAGTTCGGTTCCCTTCATCTGGACCAAAGCAGAATATAATACATTGTTACATTTTAGTTCTGGTTCACACCTGCCACTGGTCATGTATGGCCTAGGCCTAATTTTGGCATCAGTCCAGCCCAAATAAACATGACAGTCTGATGTTTAGCTGGCTTGCTAAATGTCTGGGACCTATAAAAATAAATAAAAAAAGAAATAAAGATCAATACTCCAGGCATAAGGCCAGCTCCCCCTTGAAGATTGAGATAATTGAAGAGGCTTTGGATTCTGCAGTACATACTTAAAACGAACGGCACCGCAGTTTGTTTTGAAGCAAACTGACGCTGACCTGCTCAAAGGGTTTTAGTCTTTTTATCTGGTGCGCACTAGAGTTCTGATCACAGCATTTTCATTTGTTCTAACGAACCACACTAACAGAGCAATCGCACCAGGGTTCATTTTAATTGAACTAAACCGCCAAGTTTGAATGGACCCTAACAGTCAAAACCAATTAGAAGACACATAAAAGAAACACACATACAAAAAAGGCAGGCTGAAATAGAGGGTAAGCATAAAACAAAGGGGGGGGGGGGCAGACCCAATTTTGCAAGCAGATGGGCCAAGAACCAATGGGAGAAGGTTTTCCTCAAGAGGGTAGTACAGATCAAAGTGTTTGAAAACTCATGGACACAACATCCATCCCTTAGTGTAAACAAAACCAAAGAGATGACTGTTGATTTTAAGAAGGGTGGGGGGTGCAGAGTTCACACACCTCTGAGCTTCAAGTGGATTGCTGTGGAAAATTGGAACTGCTTTAAACTCCTCATATAGCTAAGGATGTCACCTAGTCAGTAAACACAACAAAACACTCATCAAAAAAGGCTGTTTTTTTCCCTCAGGACACTAAGGAGAGTGAACCTGCCTTATCAGCTCCTCTCACCTTCTACAGCATTCTGACAAGCTGCATCACAGTCTGGTATGGCAGCTCCACAGCTGTGGAATGGAAAACGACATAGTCCGTCATTGCAGCTGTCCTCCTATCCATACATGCTATTTATGAGGAGAGCCAGAATAATTACCCCAGACCCCACACACCCCTTCCACTTCCTTTTCCACCTGTTGGCATCTGTGAAGGGATATCAGAACATTCAAGCCAGAACTACCAAGTTCAAGAACAGTTTCTACCCTCGATTGTTTGCTTAATATTTACACGTAATTTAAACACTGGACTAATTTCTGAGAATGGCCATTAAAGAACAGGAGGATATTAGTGTGTGGATCAGACACTTAGTGTGTGGATCAGACACAGCACTGCTACAGTTTTTAATCAACTCAGTGTCACTGCTGTACTAAAAACTTATATGAGTGGGAAATATATTTGCAAACAAACAAATATGTTGTTATTTTACATCATTTTATTTCAATTCTGATACTGATATCTTTCCATATTACACCAGACAGGATTCTGATTGGTCAGACACCTCTCCACATGACTGTTGGCAATAGCAGGTACACCTGTCAAGGGAGACTGAAACACACAAACACAAAAACAATTAATAAATAAAATACCACAATATGTGCTTGCACCTAACATACCAGGAAATAAATATTTCTCTCAAATCTTTATGTGCCACAATTGTTGGCACCCCTTCATTTAATACCTTTTGCAGCCTCTCTTTGCAAATGTAACAGCTCTGAGCCTTTTCTTATAATGCTTAATGAGATTGGAGAACACATGGCAAATGATTTGAGACCATTCCTCCATACTTTCTGATTCTGAGGTCCACACTGTGGCCTGTCCTCTTCAGCTCATCCAAGTTTTCTAAGGGGTTTAGGTCAGAGGACTGGGATGACCATGGCATAACCTTAATTCTCTGGTCAGTGAATTATTTTTGTGTTGCTTTTGAGGCAAGCTTTGGACCACTGTTTTGCTGGAAGATCCAAACTATGGCCCAGTTTAAGCTTCCTGGCTGAGGCATCAGGTTTTGATTTTATTTCTGCTGGGACTTGGTGTAGTCTGTGATACCATGTATCTGAATACATTGTCCAGGGCCTTTGGAAGGAAAACAGTCTCACAGTATCACAAATCCACCACAATATTTCACAGTGGGAATGAGGTACTTTTCTCTATAGCCATATGTGTCCACATCAAACTCACCTCTGGTGTTTGTTCCCAAAACCTCTATATATGTCTCATCAGACATAGAACTCAGTCCCACTGAAACCTCCAGTAACGTTTGACTGTAGGCACTAAAGTTTGTTGGTCCTTGACAGCAGAGGCTTTCTTCTGGCAACGCTCCTCCAAAAAGCTTGTGATTAGATAGTTGGTATTTGATTGTGATTTTGGGAGACCCAACACCTAACTAATTTCTGCAATTAGCCATCTGTGATCCTTGCAGATTAATTGTCCATTCAGACCATCCATCTCACTTCGCATGGGGTCAGTAAAAACAGATTCTGGCAGATTCTTTACGTCTCTAGTTGTTTTGAACTTTTTAATTATTGCCCTGATAGTGGAAATTGGTATTCTAAACTTTTAAGATACTTTTTTGTTGCCATTCCTGACTTGTGCAGCTCAACAACCTTTTGTCACACATCTCTGCTGTTTTCTCTGGTCTTTCTCATGATAGATCACTCAGAGAATTTTGGTGTGTGTTTCATCTCATATATATATGTCCTAGTGAAATTAATTGCTCCTAATCCCTCAGATGAACATTAAAACATAAAATATGAATGAGAATATTCTTCATGTACATTTCATTTTTAACAATTTCTAGGGGTGCCAACAATTGTGGAACAATAATTTTAGTAAAAAAAAATCTTTGTTGTGATGCAATACCCTGGCCCCTCTTTCATAACAGCATGTCAAAATAGGAGTCCTTTGTTTTTAGTTGTGCCTTCTGATATTTGAAGTACTAAGAACTTGCGGGCAAAACGTTCCAGAGAGTTGAGTATTTTTAAAATTGCCTTTTTTTCGCAACAATATATAATTCATTCATTATCTTTAACCACTTAAACTAAATAGGTCTGCGGTAGCAATTGGGAGAGCAGAGAATCCCAGATGACCCTGTCCCTGCAGCTTCCTTCAACTCATTCCAGGGGACCCCAATCTGCCCCCAGGCCAACTAGGAGATATAATCCCTCCAGTGTGTCCTAGGATGACCCCGGAGTCTCGTCCCAGTAGGCCATGCCTGGTGAACCCCCACCAAAAGGCATCCAGGGGGCATCCTGATCAGATGCCCGGACCACCTCACTTGGCTCCTCTCAATGTGAAGGAGTAGCACCTCTCGGATGACTGAGCTCCTCACCCTATCAAGTAGAGTGTAGCCCACCACCCTGCGAAGAAAGCTCATTTCCATCGCGTGTATTCATGATCTCATTCTTTCGGTCATTACCTACAGCTCAGGACCATAGGTAAGGGTTGGGATGTAGACAGACTGGTAAACAGAGAGCTTTGCCTTATGGCTCAGCTCCCGTTTTGCCACTGCAGTCCAGTACAGTGACCACATTACTGCTGCCACCTGTCCCAGCCTGCAGCTGATCTCATGATCCCTCTTGCCATCACTCGTGAACAAGACCCCAAGATACTTAAATTCCTCCATGTGGGGCAGGTCCTTTACCCTTTGCCTGGAGTGGGCATGCCATTGTTTTCCAGGCTAGGACCATGGAGTCAGACTTAGAGGTGCTGATCTGCATACCAACCACTTCACACTCAGCTGCAAACCACTTCAGTGAGCGCTGGAGGCATCCATGTGATCCAGCCAAAAGGATAACATCATCCACAAATAGCAGAGACGCCACCCTCCAGCCTTCACACACAATGCCCTTCTGAGCTTGGTTACGCCTTGACACCCTGTCCATGAATTTCACAATCACTCACACTGAACAAGCTTAATGCTGA